TGTGTGTTTGTGTGTGTGTGTGTGTGTGTGTGTGTGTGTGTGTGTGTGTGTGTGTGTGTGTGTTTCTTTCGTGCCTTCTAGCTATATTATTTTCAGTCTGTTTATATTATATCAAATATAATGTAAATAATAGGTGCACCTATATTATTTTAGTATGACTAGTGTATTAAACCATGAACACAACTTTGTATCAATGAAATTCACTTTAATAAATTGTTATCTTAGCCGCAATAATAACTATCATTATCATTAGGTTTTGTGTTTTTTTGACTTTCTATTCATTCATTTTTTTTATTGTTGAAAACGTTATCAAATTATACAATATGTACAATTTAAAAGAACAAAAGGGAGGCAGCGTGGTGGAATCAGGCTCTCATCAATTTTGGGACATGTAGACTTATTGGTATCATCTTAAAGCATGTTCACTTGTCTTTATTTGGATGAAAAAAAATATCCAATTATCTTGAACACAAGTGGAGATATTTGCTAAAGAAGGAGGTAGAGATCACATGTTTTCAGAGGTAAAATTAGTTTTAAAAATGGCCGCCAAAGATTAGTTATTTCATTAGCTTAAGAGTCCGTGTTTACTGAAAATTTAAATTTTTGGTGCTTTTAATCAACTTAAAAAAAAAAAATCCACACATAAATGAGTTCTTTAATCTGCGTGAAAGGTGCTGAGCCAAAAAACAAAAATTTGATAAAAATTCACAAACTTGCTGAAAAATGAAAGTTTCTTCACTTTGATTATTTTGACGAGAGCTACAAATGCTATTTATGATTATTATGATTATTATTATTATTATTATTATTATTATTATTATTATTATTTATTATTATTATTATTATTATTATTATTATTATTATTATTGTTTGTTTTTGTAAAGTGTTTTACGGCGCTCGCAACTGCATAGGTCATATGAGCGCGCGGGACACACATAATATTTTCAGTTGGTAGGAAATTTTGAATTTTGCCCGGGTGGCGGCCGAAGCCTACTCTTATCGATTTTAGACCACCAAGGGATCTTTAACGTGCGCAACTTGCACACGGGCCCTCCGAGATTTTTCGCCCTTGTCCGAGAAGGCTAGATGTAGATCTTTAGAAGATCAGGGGTGTGGCAGAAAGACAGCGGTAAGGGGGGGGCAAGGAGTAGCAGTAGAAAGGCTGCAGAAAGAGTCAGGAGCCCAGAGGAGGGGGCAAAGGAGGTGAGGGGATGGGGGCAGAAAGTGGAAATGAAAGCAGACGACAGAACTTTGCTAGAGAGCAGGAAAGGATGTGAAAGGAGACAATTTTAGAGAAGAAAATTTTTTGGTCGCTACCCGGATTCGAACCCGGGACCTTTGAATGAGAGGCCAACACCTTAACCTCTAGGCCACGAGAGCCCCCTATTATTATTATTATTATTATTATTATTATTATTATTATTATTATTATTATTATTATTATTATTATTATTATTATTATTATTATTATTATTATTATTATTATTATTATTATTATTATACTGGACCAAGCTTATCTAACGTTGATGGGAAAATCTTGTCATGATACACACGTTCTAAGACCAGCGACAGATCAGTGACCCAGTTTACCTGACGTTGGTGGGGAACATCTCAGGTGTGTAGTAAAACACCATGCCGAAGCTTCCAGAACCTCCAAAGGTGCCCACCAGGTAGGACACTAGGACCAGGTAGCCGTACGGACCACTGCCCGATACATCCTGGGCTGAGAACAAATACGGAGGTTTATGATAATGTCGAAATAAATTATTGATTTTATGTAATTGTGCAATGAAAGGGGAAAGGAAAACAGTACACGATTGTGAAACGCCTTGAGCCACAAGTGAGTCGGTGCTCTACAAGCTAGATCTGTATCATTATCTTAAAACATTACTATTACTATGATTGTTATTATTATTGCAATTATTGGTATTGTTATAATTATTATTATTAGTATTATTTTTATCATCATCAGTAGTAGTAGTAGTAGTAGTAGTAGTAGTAGTAGTAGTAGTAGTAGTAGTAGTAGTAGTAGTAGTAGTAGTAGTAGTAGTAGTAGTAGTAGTAGTAGTAGTAGTAGTAGTAGTAGTA